AGGGAGGAGAGAGAGGAGGGGAGCGAGAGGAGGGGAGAGAGCGAGAGAGAGGAGGGGAGAGAGCGAGAGAGAGGAGGGGAGAGAGCGAGAGAGAGGAGGGGAGAGAGCGAGAGAGAGGAGGGGAGAGAGCGAGAGAGAGGAGGGGAGAGAGCGAGAGAGAGGAGGGGAGAGAGCGAGAGAGAGGAGGGGAGAGAGCGAGAGAGAGGAGGGGAGAGAGCGAGAGAGAGGAGGGGAGAGAGCGAGAGAGAGGAGGGGAGAGAGCGAGAGAGAGGAGGGGAGAGAGCGAGAGAGAGGAGGGGAGAGAGCGAGAGAGAGGAGGGGAGAGAGCGAGAGAGAGGAGGGGAGAGAGCGAGAGAGAGGAGGGGAGAGAGCGAGAGAGAGGAGGGGAGAGAGCGAGAGAGAGGAGGGGAGAGAGCGAGAGAGAGGAGGGGAGAGAGCGAGAGAGAGGAGGGGAGAGAGCGAGAGAGAGGAGGGGAGAGAGCGAGAGAGAGGAGGGGAGAGAGCGAGAGAGAGGAGGGGAGAGAGCGAGAGAGAGGAGGGGAGAGAGCGAGAGAGAGGAGGGGAGAGAGCGAGAGAGAGGAGGGGAGAGAGCGAGAGAGAGGAGGGGAGAGAGCGAGAGAGAGGAGGGGAGAGAGCGAGAGAGAGGAGGGGAGAGAGCGAGAGAGAGGAGGGGAGAGAGCGAGAGAGAGGAGGGGAGAGAGCGAGAGAGAGGAGGGGAGAGAGCGAGAGAGAGGAGGGGAGAGAGCGAGAGAGAGGAGGGGAGAGAGCGAGAGAGAGGAGGGGAGAGAGCGAGAGAGAGGAGGGGAGAGAGCGAGAGAGAGGAGGGGAGAGAGCGAGAGAGAGGAGGGGAGAGAGCGAGAGAGAGGAGGGGAGAGAGCGAGAGAGAGGAGGGGAGAGAGCGAGAGAGAGGAGGGGAGAGAGCGAGAGAGAGGAGGGGAGAGAGCGAGAGAGAGGAGGGGAGAGAGCGAGAGAGAGGAGGGGAGAGAGCGAGAGAGAGGAGGGGAGAGAGCGAGAGAGAGGAGGGGAGAGAGCGAGAGAGAGGAGGGGAGAGAGCGAGAGAGAGGAGGGGAGAGAGCGAGAGAGAGGAGGGGAGAGAGCGAGAGAGAGGAGGGGAGAGAGCGAGAGAGAGGAGGGGAGAGAGCGAGAGAGAGGAGGGGAGAGAGCGAGAGAGAGGAGGGGAGAGAGCGAGAGAGAGGAGGGGAGAGAGCGAGAGAGAGGAGGGGAGAGAGCGAGAGAGAGGAGGGGAGAGAGCGAGAGAGAGGAGGGGAGAGAGCGAGAGAGAGGAGGGGAGAGAGCGAGAGAGAGGAGGGGAGAGAGCGAGAGAGAGGAGGGGAGAGAGCGAGAGAGAGGAGGGGAGAGAGCGAGAGAGAGGAGGGGAGAGAGCGAGAGAGAGGAGGGGAGAGAGCGAGAGAGGAGGGAGGGAGGAGGAGAGAGAGGAGAGGGAGGAGAGAGAGGAGGGGAGCGAGAGGAGGGGAGAGCGAGAGAGCGAGAGAGAGAGAGGAGGGGAGAGAGAGAGAGAATAAAAAGGGGAAGGTAGGAGACCCAGTTAAACGATTAAGGGGGTTGCAGGAGGAGGGTAGGAAGCAGGGAGAAAGCAAAGTTAGACATGTGGTTGATTGTCTGGGTGCTGAAAGCATTGACAGCATCATTTCAATTTTCTAAAACGCCTCACTAGGTTTTGTGTAGTTTTTCCAGTTTGGGGAATAAATCAGAAATGTATTCAGCAATGCGAAATGGAGTAAGGTACCATCTGCAAATGACTGCATATGAATTCTCCAAACCTAAAATATAAGTAGACTTTTGGCAGTGGAGGACCATATCTTGTTCCAATTGCCCTCTTCAAGTATTTCCCTTTTCCCACATATTTAGTACAGCAAAACTAGCACAGGGTCAGTACCTTGGTTAACACGCAAGGTGCAAAGAACAGGCCAAATAGAGTCACAAACTAAGTGCTGAGGACCCACGGCAAAGTGAATCACTGATGCCTTGAAAACTAAGGACATCCAAGTATGAGTCTTTGATGTCTACAGGAGCCAGAAAATCTCCTTGATGTAGAGTCTAAGGCGAGGACACTTAGGGCCTTGAGATGAAAGTTGGGGTGAAAGCCACCTTTTGATTTGGAAACAGATTGAAGTAAAATCCCTAGAACCATTCCACCAAAGGTATTTGGGTCGATCTGCAGCAGCTTGTAAATACACAGCCCTGGGAGATCTATCCCACAGCCATGAAACGCTGAGTGGTCTTTTACTATTATGACTGATCGCAGCGTTGCGGCTGTGTCAGCAGTAGTAATTGTTCATTTATTAAACATTACTAAGTGCTGCAGGTCTTTGTCATCTATCTGCCAGGGCTGTGAAGTCTACCTGCCAGTTGCTCACACCTGACCTGGCTGCTAATAATTATACAGGGCACCAGCAGCTCTACCATACAACCCAGCAGCGCTGATTGTTCAATAATAATAGTAAAAGATCATTTAGTTCGTCTGGACTGTGTGTCGATCGGTGCCTGCTTGTAAATACACAGCTCTACCACACAGCCCCGCAACACTGATTGGTCTTTTATTATAATTAATAAACGATCAGGGTTGCAGGGCTGTCACCCTGGGACGAAAAAGACGTTTGTGAGCCGAAAAGGAAGGATCCTGTTTGGGGTAACAAAGTCCTCTCTGCCATCAACCCGAAGTTTCCACACCACCATCCCCTGGATCCACCCTTGCCTTTGCGCCTCCCCCCAATACCGCACCGTTCATCATCCACTTTTAGACTGTAAGCCCTCAGGGGCAGGGCCCTCCTTACCATCTGGTCTTGAATTGTATTGTATTGTAATGTCTTCCTTACATTGTAAAGCGCTGCACACACTGTTGGCGCTTTATAAATACTATGTAATAATAATAATCATTAGGCCCCCACTCCACATAGATCCCCACCCCCTAGACAGGTTCAACTCAGTTGTGGTGCTTCCTTCCCTACCTTTTGTTCTACTTTGACAAACAGTCAATGTAGAGTATTCCAACTCTACTGCCCACACCCGCTTATAAACCCCCCCCCCCCAAAAAGCGCTTTGCCCCAAGACAACTCCCCCCATT